AGAATCTCATTCCTCTTTATGGCTGAATAGTCCTCTGTTATGTCTGCATACCACGTTTTCTTTATCCATTTGTCTGTTGATGGACACTGAGGTTGCTTCCAAGTCTCAGCTACTGGGAGCAGCGCTGCAATAAACATGGGAGTGCAGGCATCTCTTTAAGATACCCATTTCCTTTCTTTTGGATATATACCCCGCAGTAAGAATGCTGGCTCATAGGATAGCTCTATTTTTAGCGTTTTGGGGAACATCTAAACTATTCTCCATAGTGGCTGTACTCATGACATTTCCACGAACAGTGTATGAGGGTTCCCTTTTCTGCTCATCCTCACCAGCATTTGTTACTGCCTGTCTTTGATAAAAGCCATTTGACTGGGGTGAGTCTCATTGTAGTTGTTATTTGCACTTCTCTGATGATCAGTGATGCTGAGCTCCCTTTCATGTGCCTGTCATTTTTATGGCTTTGCTTGAGGAATGTCTACTGGGATCTTCTGTTCCCCACAGCCTCCCCCTTTTTTTTGAGATGGAGTCCTGCTTTCTCTCCCAGGCTGGAGTGCAGGGTAGCAATCTCGGCTTACCGCAACCTCCGCCTCCCGGGTTCAAGCAATTCTCTACCTCAGTCTCCCGAGTAGCTGGGATTACAGGTGCCCACCACTATGCCTCTAATTTTTGTATTTTTAGTAGAGACAGCATTTTACCATGTTGGCCAGACAGATCTTGAACTCCTAACCTCATGATCGGCCTGCCTCAGACTTCCAAAGTGCTGGGATTACAGGCATGAACCACCGCATTCGGCCTCTTTTGCCCATGTTTAAATGGGATTATTTGGTTTCTTCCTGTTGAGTTGTTTGAGCTCTTTATATATTTTGTTTTTTGTTTCGTTTTTTTGGGATGGAGTCTTGGCTCTGTCGCCCAGGCTGAAGTGCAATGGTGTGATCTTGGCTCACCGCAACCTCTGCCTCCTGGGTTCAAAGCAATTCTCCTGCCTCAGCCTCATGAGTAGCTGGGATTACAGGCACGTGCCACCACGCCTGGCTAATTTTTGTATTTTTAGTAGAGATGGGGTTTCACCATGTTGGTCAGGCTAGTCTCGAACTCCTGACCTTGTGATCTGCCCACCTTGGCCTCCCAAAGTGCTGGGATGACAGACGTGAGCCACCGCGCCCAGTGAGCTCTTTATATGTTTTGGTTAATAATCCCTTGTCAGATGGATAGTTTGCAAATACTTTCTTCCATTCTGTGGGTTGTCTCTTCACTTTGTTCATTGTTTCCCTTGCTGTGCAGAAGATTTTTAATTTGATGTGAAAAAATGAGAGAATTTTAAGGAGAAGCTTCCCCTTTCGTGGCTGGTAAGGTAGTGGTGTTGGTGGGAGGAACCTCTGGTGGGTGTTCGGGAACTGTGATGATTAATGTTGTGTGCCAACTTGGCTGGGCCATGGTGCGCAGATATTTGGCCAAACATTATTCTGGATATTTCTATGAAGGCTTTTTTTTTTTGGTTGAGGTTAACATTTAAACCAGTGGAATTTAAATACAGTAGATTACCCTCCATAATTCGGTGAGCCACATACAATCAGTTGAAGAATTTAAAGGAACTAAGACGGAGTAGGAAGTTATTCTGCCAGCAAACTGCCTCTGGCCTCTTCCTTTGGTTTCCAGGCTGTCAGCCTACCCTACAGGGTTTGGTTTTACCAAGCCTCATGATTTCATGAGCTAGTGCCTTCTCTCTCTCTCTCTCTCTCTCTCTCTCTCTCTCTCTCACCCCCACCTCCTCCTTCTCTCTCTCTCTTTTGGTCTCTGCACATGTTGTGGGTGGTTGTTTCTCTGGATAACACTGACTGATACAGAAACTATTCCTACCATCAAGTATCATATGGATTTTTCCCACTTAGACCTCTTCTTTTTTTTTTTGAGACAGAGTCTCACTCTGTCACCCAGGCTGGAGTGCAGTGGCCCAATCTCAGCTCACTGCAACCTCCGCTTCCCAGGTTCAAGCGATTCTCTTGCCTCAGCCCCCTGAGTAGCTGGGATTACAGGCACGTGCTACCGTGCCTGGCTAATTTTTGTATTTTTAGTAGAGATGGGGTTTCAACATCTTGGCCAGGCTGGTCTCAAACTCCTGACCTTATGATCCACCCGCCTCAGCCTCCCAAAGTGCTGGTATTATAGGTGTGAGCCACCGCGCCTGGCCGAGACCTCTTCTTAAATCACGGGTGCTGCTGGTGTTCATAGCCCTTCACTTTAAGAGTATAATGAAAGAGAAGAAATTAATTTCCCAAATATCAGAGATGATTTATCATTTATTGAGGACCTTTTTTTGTAGAGGTTTTCAAACACAGCAAGGTGAAATGTATTTGTGTAGGAATAGAGTGAAAGGGGGTTCTCTTTTTGTAGTGGGGACCTACGGGGTTGTGTGGGGACATGAGGAGGGAATGGACATGTTTGATAGGTACCCAGGAAATAGGAAGGGAAATATAAAAATGGGCTGTTGGAAAAGGTTTGTATGGCCTTGATTGCCAGGCTAGTGAGTTGGGCTTTTTCTGGGTAGGCAAACGGCTGTTACTGAGTTTTGAATGAAGGAGTGAGATATTCAAAAGGGAGGAAGCCGGCAGTGCCACATAGAGTAAATTGGAAGGGGAAGACTGAGATTAGGAGTCAGTCTGGAAAGTTATTTTAATTATCTCTGTATTCATTCCTTTATTCTTGATTTCTTTCTTTGTTAATTTTTTACTTTTTTCTTATTTTTTCCAATATAATAATTCCTTTATTCTTTGACTCACTGAACATTTATTGAGGCTCTGTTAGTGCCAGGCACTGCACAGCTTAAGACAAATCAAACAGGGACTGCGCTTGGGGGAGATGTGTGCAGTGAGAGAAATGTAAGTAAATGCTCATGGAAGTAGTGCCCAGTTTTTTTTAGTGCACTTTAAGTTCTGGGGTACATGTGCAGATCATGCAAGATTATTGCATAGGACACCATGCCATGACCGTTAGCTGCCTCCATCCCCCCGTCACCGACATCAGGCATTTCTCCCAGTGTTAGCCATCCCCAACTTCCCCTCCCCCCGCTGTCCCTGCCCTACCCCTCACCCCCCAACAGACCCCAGTGTGTGATGCTCCCTTCCTCATGTCCATGTGTTCTCATTGTTAAACACCCACCTATGAATGAGAACATGCAGTGTTTGGTTTTCTGTTCTTGTATCAGTTTGCTGAGAATGATGGTTTCCAGGTTCATCCATGTCCCTACAAAGGACATGAACTCATCCTTTTTTATGGCTGCATAGTATTCCATGGTGTATATGTGCCACATTTTCTTTATCCAGTCTACATTGGATGGGCATTTGGGTTGGTTTCAGCATTTCCCAATTTTTGATTCTTAGACCTGCAGCCTGGCCCACATCAGATTTTGACACTGAACTGAGAGTTCGCACTTTTTTGCAGGGTGCCTGATAGCGCGGTGTAAAGTGCAGTTATTCCTTGCCCTTCTGTCCTCTCTAAATAATAGAAGATAAAGGTCCAGAGTGAATGGGAAAAAATCACCCCAGCAATTATGGACCCGATATACATTTGGCCCATCAGCTCCTGAAGCCGAAGTTGGTGGTGGCAAGTATGCTGTCTAGGCTAACTTGGGATTAGAATCAGGGCCTGAGAGAATGCCCTGACTGGTAAGGACTGGTCAGCTGCACGCTGATGACTCCGAGGATGGGCCCTGTGAGTGTGAGAGATTGGACTTGGACCTGTCGTGAGGTCGCAATAGTTTCTTATCTTTAACTTCTGAGCTTGTGTTCACCTTTCTCTCACAAAAGCCAAGCCGAAAGTGCGATGCTGGAGTCATTCCTCTTTGGACAGCTGTGTGTACCCTATAAATGCCTTCCTGAGATGGAGAGGGGGAGCTGCGTGCATAGCACTGTGAGCTGGACTGGAAAGCATTTCTGCGGCCCAGTGATACGTGTACAGTGACACACTCGAGAGCCACGGTTCAGTGAAGGGCTAGGAAGGCTTTCCTTTTGGTCATTCATTCACCCGGAAAGGCTAAGCACTATCTCAAGAACCTGGTTTCTGGGAAGTCAGGCAACCTGATTGCAATTACAGCTTGGTAAATGATATACTCTACGGGCTCATAAAAATTAATCCAGACGCGTGATGCTGCAAAGCTGATAACATGAAATCATGAGCACAGACCTCCTTCTATTTGAGTCCAGAAAGGGCCAGGCTTTGTGTGGGTCTGCACAGTGCCAAGGAGGAAAGAGACTCTACTACCAGTTTTCATTGCTGAAACTGTCCATTCTCAGCCCCCCTGGAAAGGGCCCTCATACTCCTGCCATAGACAACGAAAAAGTCATATATGTCGTGGAAGTGGGGAAAGTTGCCTTTGGAGAAGTTTCCAGAACGTTTTCCAATTTGGTCCTCTTTCCAAGTCCCTCCTTTTGAGTTAATGAAATAATTAATTATTTTGAAAATAATAATAGCTACCATTTACCAAGGATCTAATATGTACCAATTTACTTACATATGTTGTCCCTTTCATTCTTCCCATCACATACTGTGTTCTATGGTCATATGTCCTGGGAATCAGAAAGAAGAACTTGCCAAAATCACACAGCTAGAAAATGAGAATCAGTATTCAAGCCTACATTTCAAAGGGTCAGTATTTAAACCAACGTTTCTATTCAAACCTAGAAATGAGAGTTAGTGTTCAAACCTAGTATCATGGCCCACACAGTCTCATTGAAGACAAGGTGTGGCTCACTAATGGGCTGCAGTCATGTATGTTTCAAGTGGGAGAAAGTAAAAGGCTTAATTTTTTTTTTTTTGGTTGAGTCAGAATCTTTATTTGTCACCCAGGCTGGAGTGCAGTGGTGTGATCTTGGCTCACTGCAGCCTCCGCCTCCTGGATTTAAGTGATTCTCCTGTCTCAGCCTCCCAAGTAGCTGGGACTACAGGGGTCTGCCATCACACCCAGCTAATTTTTGTGTTTTTAGTAGATACAGGGTTTCTGCTGAGCAGAGTATGGAAGCAGCTGACTACGAAGTGCTATCGGTGCGAGAACAGCTCTTTCATGAGAGGGTCCACGAGTGCATTATCTCAACACTTCTGTTTGCAACACTGTACCTCCTCTGCCATATCTTCCTGACCCGCTTCAAGAAGCCTGCTGAATTCACCACAGTGGATGATGAAGATGCCACAGTCAACAAGATTGCGCTTGAGCTGTGCACCTTTACCCTGGCAGTTGCCCTGGGTGCTGTCCTGCTCCTGCCCTTCTCCATCATCAGCAATGAGGTGCTGCTTTCCCTGCCTCGGAACTACTACATCCAGTGGCTCAACGGCTCCCTCATCCATGGCCTCTGGAACCTTGTTTTTCTCTTCTCCAACCTATCCCTCATCTTCCTTATGCCCTTTGCATATTTCTTCACTGAGTCCGAGGGCTTTGCTGGCTCCAGAAAGGGTGTCCTGGGCCGTGTTTATGAGACGGTGGTGATGTTGATGCTCCTCACACTGCTGGTGCTGGGTATGGTGTGGGTGGCATTAGCCATTGTGGACAACAACAAGGCCAGCAGAGAGTCACTCTATGACTTCTGGGAGTATTATCTCCCCTACCTCTACTCATGCATCTCCTTCCTTGGGGTTCTTCTACTCCTGGTGTGTACTCCACTGGGTCTTGCCGGAATGTTCTCGGTCACTGGGAAGCTGCTGGTCAAGCCCCGGCTGCTGGAAGACTTGGAGGAGCAGCTGTACTGCTCAGCCTTTGAAGAAGCAGCCCTGACCCGCAGGATTTGTAATCCTACTTCCTGCTGGCTGCCTTTAGACATGGAGCTGTTACACAGACAGGTCCTGGCTCTGCAGACACAGAGGGTCCTGCTGGAGAAGCGGCGGAAGGCTTCAGCCTGGCAGCGGAACCTGGGCTACCCCCTGGCCATGCTGTGCTTGCTGGTGTTGACAGGCCTGTCTGTACTCATTGTGGCCATCCACATCCTGGAGCTGCTCATCGATGAGGCTGCCATGCCCCGAGGCATGCAGGGTGCCTCCCTAGGCCAGGTCTCCTTCTCCAAGCTGGGCTCCTTTGGTGCTGTTATTCAGGTTGTACTCATCTTTTACCTAATGGTGTCCTCAGTTGTGGGGTTCTATAGCTCTCCCCTCTTCCGGAGCCTGCGGCCCAGATGGCATGACACCACCATGACACAGATAATTGGGAACTGTGTCTGTCTCCTGGTCCTAAGCTCAGCACTTCCTGTCTTTTCTCGAACCCTGGGGCTCACTCGCTTTGACCTGCTGGGTGACTTTGGACGCTTCAACTGGCTGGGCAATTTCTACATTGTGTTCCTCTACAACGCAGCCTTTGCAGGCCTCACCACACTCTGTCTGGTGAAGACCTTCACTGCCGCTGTAGATACAGCGGCATTTTAGTAGATACAGCCATATTAGTCAGGCTGGTCTCGAACTCCTGACCGCAGGTGATCCACCCGCCTTGGCCTCCCAAAGTGCTGGGATTACAGCCACTGCGCCCCTATAATTTTATATTCAGTGGTATCTATTTTTCCTTGCCGTCTTCTAGTTTATTGATTAGTACTAACATGATACAGTTTCAGTATCATCTTTATTGAATTAATAGTCTCATTAATATATGCTATGGCATGAAACAAATGTTAATAATTTCCTTCTGATCTTCAAGTTGATTTTTCCTGTCCTTCTTTCCCTCTGTCCTTCCCTCCCCCTCTCGCCTTTCCTTCTCTCTTTTCCTATAGTATGTTTTCAGAGCTTCCATTGCATTTATTTTCATTGTTTTCCTGCTTGCTCAGTTCTGTTCACGCTTGACTCTGTTAAGATGTGGAAGACTTCTTGACTTGATTCCCACTGTATTCAATGTGATTTTCTCTAAGGGCTTGAATGTCAGGACTTTTTCTTCTGTTTATTTTATTGTATTTTTATTTTTAAAGATGGGGTCTCACCATATTGGTCAGGCTGGTCTCGAACTCCTGACCCTAGGTGATCCGCCCGCCTCGGCCTCCCAAAGTGCTGGGATTACAGGCATGAGCCACCTCGCCTAGCTTCTTCTGTTTAAGAAGCTAATATGACTTTGGGGGAGCTGAGCTTCGGCTCAACAGCGGAGTTAAACCAGCTGTCTCTTGTTTCTCTTAGACTGTCTTCCTTTCTGTAATTACTACTTTTTGAAATACAGAATTAGGTTACACCCTTTTTCCTTTTGCGTTGCCTTTGGTGAATTCACGCCGAAGAATGTTCGTAAGTCTACGCTTTGTTCACATTTTATTTCCTTTCATGTTTTCAGAATTCTTAACCCAGAAATTGGAATTGTATCAGAGGAAACTAAATGAAGAATTTGACTGGTATTTAAGTTAAAACAACTTTAAACAAATTCAGGCCAGGCTCAGTGGCTCACGCCTGTAATCCCAGCACTTTGGGAGGCTGAGGCGGGTGGATCACAAGGTCAGGAAATCAAGACCATCCTGGCCAATATGGTGAAACCCTGTCTCTACTAAAAATACAAAAAGTAGCTGGGCGTGGTGGTGCGCACCTGTAATCCCAGCTACTCGGGAGGGTGAGGCAGGAGAATTGCTTGAACCCAGGAGGCGGAGGTTGCAGTGAGCTGAAATTGCGCCACTGCACTGCAGCCTGGTGCCTGGCGACAGAGCGAGATTCTGTCTAAAAAAAAAAAAAAATTCAGGAAAACTGTATTGTACAGGGAAAGAGAACTGGACTGAGCATCAGATAATCTTAAATTCTAGCCCCAGCTCTAGTATATATAGCTAAAACTATTGGAAGGAGATATATATATATATATATATATATCCCTCCAAATGTGTGCATATATATATATATACACACAATCTCATATATATATAAATATATACAATCTCATATATATATATATAAATATATATATATCCCTTCAATAGTTTCAATGCTTTCAGATGTGGCCCATGGAAAGGCCATGCGTTGTGAAGGGAGGAGGAGGGTCTGCGAATGGAGAGGCCTGCAGTTTGCTGAAGTGAGAAGAAAGGACAGCATTAGTAATGGGAGTAAAATAAGGCTGGGAGCAGCGGCTCGCCGGTAATCCCAGAACTTTTGGAGGCAGAGGCAGGTGGATCACAAGGTCAGGAGTTTGAGACCAGCCTGGCCAACATGTTGAAACCCCATCTCTACTAAAAATACAGAAATTAGCCGGGTGTGGTGGCACGCACCTGTAATTCCAGCTACTATATATATCTACATCCCATATATATATTTTCCTTCAAATAAGTGAAAGGAATTCTCAGCTGTAAAATGAGTTGATTTTATCCACCATGACTATGTCATAGAGCTATTGTGTCAGATGAAATAATTAAATGAAAGGACTTTATAAATAGCAGAGTAACATTCAACACAAGGTGTTGCCATTATTTTATTGTGATTATTATTACTGAATCTTTATTTGTGGAAGATCATCATAAAGATGGTTGGAGGAGAAGTCCTTAGGCGGGGTTTAGCAAGGTGAGGGGGTAACTTTCTGATGAAGCTAGACGTTTTCCCAAGCATTTACGTTTCCCCATCTCTAGTCTGATAGAGAGAGGGATTGTGGCTAGTTTGAAAAATGTTTTTAGCTTATTCTATATTTATCTCTCATTGAGAATGAATAGGTTTTAGATATTTACGCACCTAAAAACAGATGACTCAGTTTCTCACATAGCCGTATGTTGTTGTAAACATTGGCTAAGTGCCCAATAATTCTTGCAGTACAAAGAGTTAATAGCATTAATCATACTTTAATTTTTATGATTCATTTTGGATTTCAAGAGATTTGCACTGTTGTTTCCAATTTTGATTATGATTCTTTTCAAAACATAGGCATGAAAAATGTTTTCTTTACTGACCTGAAAAGAAGAAATATAAAAACTTTGACCGTAAGATTCAGCAGTAAACTTTATTTATAATACTACTTAAAACTAAAGCATTCAAACAAAATAATTTGGAGGGCGAGGCTAGGGAAACAGAAAAAAGAAAAAAAAAACCAAAGTAATTTATTGCTTATGAGTTCTATTTTGAAACCTAAAACTAAATTTTTATTTATTCAGCCTATAACATTATTGAATTTTGTAATCCTTCCATTTTAAATATACATATTTTTAAAAAGCAATTGACACATGAGTCTAGATGTCAGATGTCATACCCTCATACATAAAAAGTAAAATAAGGCCGGGAGCAGTGGCTCCCATCTGTAATCCCAGTAGTTTGGGAGGCCGAGGCAGGTGGATCACAAGGTCAGGAGTTCGAGACCAGCCTGGCCAACATGGTGAAACCCCGTCTCTACTAAAAATACAAAAATTAGCTGGGTGCGGTGGTGCGTGCCTGTAATCTCAGCTACTGGGGAGGCTGAGGCAGGAGAATTGCTTGAACCCGGGAGATGGAGGTTGCAGTGAGCCGTAATTTCAGCTACTGGGGAGACTAAGGCAGGAGAATTGCTTGAACCTGGGAGATGGAGGATGCAGTGAGCCAAGATCACGCCACTGTATTCTAGCCTGAGTGACAAAGCAAGACTCCATCTTGAAAAAAAGAAACGTTAAAAAAAAAAAGTAAAATAAGCTCATTGACATTGATTTTGCTTTTCAGTTCATTCACACTTTCAAAATATTCTTGGTCTGGGTAGAAGCAGTACTTAAAGAGTTTTAAAAAGAAACCATTTATATAGTGTCTATAATTTTAATTTTAGTTTATAAATTGAGTATTCTGCTTTTGCATTCATTTAGCCTACTGTAATAAAAATTTCTATAAAATAATTCTTGCTGTGTAACTTTGAAACTCAATTACAGCTGCAGAAATGGAGTAGTGAGATACCAAGTTGGAGAACAAACATTTGTAAATATCAGCTTGAGACGGAATGCTGGTACAGAACCTAAGATTATGTTTACATGCAGAGAATGGCAGTTTCAATGTGCACAGGTTTGGCTCTGCTGCCATCCTAAGTCACACCTGTGTTAATGAAATGATCTTCTCAACTCAGTGTTAGGCAGGCTTAAATTTTTACCGTAGAGACATTCCTACCACTGTAGTTCAGAGAACCAGCCGCTGAGATTTACGGCCAGGTTCTAAGGATATTTTGGCTGTGTTTCTTTTCAGGACTCATTATTTTAAAATAAATGTATCATATTTATTTTAGAGGTGTCTCTTCTAGATCTATTTTCTTTCCTACTTATCAGCATAATCATTTCAAATCTGAGGTAGAGATTGAAAACTGAGCATTTGATTTCAGTATACGATATGAAAGGCCATTACACAGAACTTATTACACCATTTTTGCACCATTAGTACAAAAAAAGAAAAAAGTGTGAAAGAGGCCTCCTAAGAAGAATTAGATATTTCCATTTGGCAGTATAAGCAGGGTGTGGTGTTTTTATTCACTGAGAGTAATAAATTATTTTTATTTCTAATTCCGCCTATTTCCTGGGTTGTTTTCATTTATCACAAACAAAAATGGCCAATGTATATATTAAGGCATACCAGTGCTAATGTATCTTATTGGAAATATCAGATCAAATACCCAATATTTCCTTTAATCTTGGGCAAAAAAAGTGATTTGTGATTAGGTTCGTCAAGATATACACAATGTGCTTTTCTGACTTTTTTACTTCACTCTTATTCTGATTGAAAAACTGATATTTTACATATGCTTATGACATTTTTCTATTCTTTTTTTTTTTAGATGGAGTTTCGCTCTTGTTACCCAGGCTGGAGTGCAGTGATATGATCTCAGTTCACCGCAACCTCCGCCTCCTTGGTTCAAGCAATTCTCCTGCCTCAGCCTCCCGAGTAGCTGGGACTACAGGCATGCGCCACCATGCCCGGCTAATTTTTGTATTTTTAGTAGAGACGGGGTTTCACCATGTTGACCAGGATGGTCTCGATCTCTTGACCTCATGATCCACCCGCCTCGGCCTCCCAAAGTGCTGGGATTACAGGCATGAGCCACCATGCCTGGCCCTGTAAAGATTCTTAAGAAATTAGAATAGAAGGAAAATTTCTTAAACTGATAAGAGCACCCATTAATTAACTACAAATTTATTTTGTTAATTGGATAATGGAATATTCAAGTTATTTATTACATCTTAAGTGAGCTATGTTAGTTGGTGTCTTTTAAGGCATTTGTCCAGTTCATTTAAATTGTCAAATTTATTAGCATAAAATTCTTCAAATATTTATTTATTTATTTATTTATTTGAGATGGAGTCTTGCTCTGTCACCAAGCTGGAGTGCAGTGGCACAATCTTGGCTCACTGCAACCTCCGCCTGCTGGGTACAAGCAATCCTTCTGCCTCAGCCTCCCAAGTATCTGGGACTACAGGTACGTGCCACCACACTCAGCTAATTTTTGTTTATTTAGTAGAGATGGGATTTCACCATGTTAGCCAGGATGG